CCTTGGTAAACTGAGTATCAATAAAATTATTGATACTTTCATTCGGTGGGTAAGACAAATGAGTTATCAATCTAAGTCTACCAGTTTTATAAGGAACTAACCCAGTAGGAGAGCACCGAAGATTTGAAATAGGTTTATGTTTGAATGGGCCTGCCATTCGACCTAATGATATCTCATTATTCAACTTCTTTTGAGCTTCAATAGGGTTTTTTAAAACAGACAACACATTTTTATATTCGCATGAACGTCTAGGACCTTCATAGTGAATTTTAAAACCATATTTAAATCCATTCAAAAGTTCAACAGCACTTTGATTATCAGGCTATATTTCCAAAAGCTTAGAGAGTTCATTTACATTAACCGGAGATGTTCCTAGAGCCCAAATATTAAACTGGTTTGGCTGTAGTTTTGAAAATATGTAAATTATCTTTTGTTAAAACCTCCTTTTGGGTTTTGTCTATAAGCAGAGTTGTTTAGCAAAGGTGCAATGTTATTCCTCTTAAACCTAAATAGACCAGTATTAACTTCATTGTCCATATATCGACAACATCTTAAAGCAGGATGATTAAAACCACATTTGAGACATGCATGCCTGTATTGGCAATTGCGTTTATTACAAAAACCTTTAAAATTAAAATCGTAGCATTTATAACCAACATAACCAACATTAGCTTGTTGTTTTTGAGTATTGGTAGTTAAATTACGTAACCACAAAAAACCATCTATAGATGACCATTTTTTTGTATAATCCCTTGATACCCTCAAACGGAATTGTTGGTCATAAGAATACCATTTTTCAACAGGATGATCAACCGCTGCACCCCTTAATATGGACATACACGAGAAAAGTTCACTTACCTTTCCAGGATACCTTTCAATAAGGACCTGGGCATAAGCAAAAAAAGAATCAGTCCAATCTTCAACAGAATTAATAGTATGGGTTTTTTAAACTTTGTTTTGAATAACCAGATACCGTCATTAATGCCAATGGTGTTTTCATTATTTGTTTGGCAGTTAATATTGTTACGATGCATAAAGGACAAATCAATGTACTCAAAATTCCAAATTTTATCCTTAAGCTTTTGGCTAACAAATATGTAAATTTCTTAAAAACCGGGTAACATTAGAGGTTCATCAAAAACTTCATTAACCTCACCTAAGGCAGTTAATTGCGGCTCATTCACTTGAATGTCTACATCAGGGTGCAGGCAACAAATTGTGGTTCATCAACCCGCCGTCTTCTTTCTAAAGGTGCTTCATCGTCTGCATCAGCTGGAGGACGCCTTCTCACATTCCTAACAACTGGTTGTGGCTGTTGTACTTCTTTCCTAGAAGCCCTCCTAACTCGTAGTTCTCGACCTCCAACCGGGTCCTGCCGGCGACGCTTACCTCTACCTCTTGGCATTGTTATAAACTATTATAATTATAAAGACAGCTTAGATACATACATAAAGTCTTTAAAGCCTTGTTCATATTTCAAAATATAAATTCAACTTAAAAATAATTATTCAACTTAAATAAATTGAAATACCAATATATTTACACACTACGTAGTCTTAAATAAACTTTAATACATGTTAATGCATTAAAACAATTGAATGTTATTAAAAAAATATAACTAAAACAGCTACAATGTGTGCTTTTAATAAAATAAAACATCGTTTATTAACGGTTTAGTTCCTTCTATTACTAAGCTTATAACTTAATTAAATTATGTATCCTCGAATTTTTAACATATAAAAGATTTAACGTGTAATCAAATTAAACGTAACCGGGCATGTAAATGTTAACAATGCATACACTACATACATTGTAATTACCTGTTCAAAGTGTATCGCTCATACATTCAAAACAAACAAATATATCACCTGTAGTAAAGCATTTAATTTTGATGCTATTAAATGGTTAAAATATGTGTGCACAATGTAACTTATTAATTAAATCATAGTTTTTTCAGTGTAATATGCTAAACAAGTAAGCGAAAAATTTAACTAATGAATCGAACTATTTGCAAGAAATAACTTTCAAATAAAATTCAATCTTTTCTTTTACAAATTACAGAAATAAAATCATCCGGAAAATACACCTGCAATAAATATATCTAACTATCAATAAAACATTTGTACTTATCTTCTGTCCGAATCAGCCTGTCCTTTTTGTGTTCTTTCAGTTCAAATCACGCAATGAACAAATCACGAAAAGCATGCAATTTTATATCAAATAAAAGCGGGAAAACCGCTTATGAGATTATGTAGGTAAAAAAATGACGCTCAAGTCCTTAAAAATTAAAGAAAAGTTAATTCTAGTTTAGCAGACGATTATCTCAACTTATTAAATTGATTTAATGCTTAATGATTAAATCTTATCAATATAGTTCTCTATTGTATACACAAAATACAAAAAATAATGTTTATGCCTTAGGTCAGAGGTTTTACAATGACTTAGGTAGACATAATATTATATTGATAAAATAAAAATAAACGTCTAATATAAAAATAAGGAGATGTGGTATGATTGCCAATGAGACAACTATCTACCAAAATTCAAATAAAGTGGATGTAAGTAATAATACGAAACCGTACGGCCTTCAACAATGAGAAAAATAGTCGGCTGTAAAATACCCCGACAAGAAAAATATGAAACAATTCAATTGAAAAAAACTGACAGCCTAATTTACAAGTATGACAGACAAGAACCAATGACAACCACTGAACTACAGGCTCTTGACTTGGGACAGGCACATAATGAATGTGGAGGGATTAAACATGTTTATGAGCGCTAAACCACCCCCTAACCTGGGACAGTGCTGTTACAGCAAAACATTAGAACAAACTATAACAATCAGTTGAAAATGGCGTAACTCATCAGATTTATACAAAGTAGAAAAACATCTGACAAAAACAAAGACTGGACGTGACAGAGTACTTATACATTATACAAAAAAGACAAAAAAGACATAAAGTAATGTCTGAGAGAACTCGCAGTTACTGACAGCTAGTTCAAAGCCAATAACAACTAATAAAAGAAATCATTTTTATAAGACTTATATATCAATCAGTACACATCCAATGTGCAATGCAAAAAAATAGTCTTGATTTCAAAATTTATTTCTCCACAAAAATACTTTCACACGGCCAACCGACCAATCGCACATGTAGCAACAGGCAAACCCAAATTAACCGGCTACAGATGTAAAAATTAAAAAGGCTTGACAAGGTGTGACAGCCAAGTTTGAATAATGGAAGATTACTCATGGTTTCAACGTCACAAAAGTAATTAAAGCGATAGGATAAACGATTTGCACACTTTCACCCTGTTCAAGAAAATACCGCAAAAGAATGCTTTGATATTAAAACTACGGTTTAACTTGATTTCTGAACGTGTTTTATATTTTACATTTACCGTTTATTTGAAAATGGAGAATATTTTTGAAAAATCAAAGAAAAACATATTTTAGACAAGTAAGAAATTAAGGTAAACTGTAGTGATCATCCAAGAGTATTTGCATTACTTTAGATGTAAGTATCGTGTGCACTGAAATTTGAATCTTGACCTTTTCATTGTGATTTGTATGCAAAACACAAATCATCCTATATACAAAGTGTCCTATTTCAGTGTTATTTGCTGATTTTGTTTATCTTAACATTCTCAACCTTTCAATGCTTTTCTGAATAACAAAACATGGGAGAAAATCAACAACGAAGCTCAACTACACTGTTACATAAGCAAACAATGAAGGATGATTAACACTACATCTGCCATAGACATATAAATAGATTAAGATTACAAATGATATATTTTGTTTGGATTGGACACAACTTATAATTCTGTTTCAATGTTTATTTTGTACCTAGGGTTTTTCAGGGTATATGTTTTGAACATCAATTGACTTAATTGGTCAGTCCTTAGCTTTATGTGTATTGTTTTGAGACCGTTTGCACGTGTTTCATCGTTTTTCTTTTTGGCCATTCCTTGTCCGACTTTTGCTATACTTTTTTGTCCTTTTTGGTTTATAGCTCTTTATCTTTTTAATAAGCTTTGGATTTTCAAATATTTTGGCCTCGAGCATCACTGAAGAGACATTGATTGTCGAAATGCGCATCTGGTGCAGAAAAATTGGTATCGTTTATGTTTTTGGTTTTATAACTCCTTTGGTATCTTCTGTCTCTTTTTGTCCCTTCATAAGTATGATCTCTTTAGAGATCGGTAATCCGCAAAATATGAAGCTTTCTTATTTGTGAACATCGCTTCTGGATATGTAATATATGCTATTCCCCTTTGAAGTATATCAAATTGTGTCCAATAGAACATGCACATACTTTAAATACTTTCCCGAAAACGCAAATAAATTGAAAATATCAATCTTCAAAGGCAATTAATCGTTTAAGCAGTAAATTGGCGATTTTTGTCCTTAATTTATTTGTAGATTATGTCCTGCTGATCATGTTTGATCTTAAGAATTAAACTTTATCTATTAAGGTTATAGTGATAATAGCCAAAATCGAAAAAGGGGAAAATCGTCATTTAATGGAATAATTCCTATAAGGTAAAGTCTGAGTTTTAATCTAATAAATAGTAGGTAGATCTTGACATTCTTTACAATTTTGTCTTGTCAGATTTTCTCTTTCTATTATAATTTTTTTCAAAATAACAATAACAGTTTACAAGATAACAGACCGCTGTGTTCTATTTTTAGCCTTGCAGCGATGATGATTGGTAGGCGGAATCATTGGAAATGTTTTTTTCAAAACTAGATATCCTAAGGATGATTGCGGCAGGTTTGGTTTCATTTGGTCTAAAAGACTACTCAGACAAGATGTTTGTTAAAGTTAACGGCCACCAAATGATAAGAAAAGCACAAACTGGCCCTCTGGGCCATGTAAGCTTAAAACAAATATAGAACTAGTAGTGTATGGTATTTCATTGAAGAAAACATATGGAGTTATACAGGCATATTCGTATCATTTAACACAATGATATAAAAATGATAAGACTACACATTTCGTTCAGTAAATACGTAATTTTATTAAAATTTAACGTCCAACGCCGGAATGTCCTCCTGGACAAAGCTGTGTTTCATCAGCAATAAGGACAACCTTTTGCGAACAACGTCCATCAGGTACCACTTTACACTCAGCAGAATGGCTAGTGATGTACCCGCCAATACTAAAACCGAAAGTAAAGTTTTAAACATGTGAATGGTTTTTGGTGGTTAAGTATATACAAAGAGTGATTGTGCTAGAGAAGGTATATGACATGGGTGGAATTTAGATCGACAAAATTGTTAAAAAAATATATAATGAACAAAAACGGACGAAAGATAAGGTAGTTGTATGTATGTACTAAATGTCAATACTACATTTACCTTGACATATAACTGTAACAATCATCACTCAATTTTATCAAAAATTGAACATTTTTAAGTATTTAAAATCCGTTAAATTTTTATATTTTCGAAAATATTGCGAAATTTAAACCTCGCGAACCAATTGGCAATACCAAATTCGAAAAAATAAGTACACCAGAAAAAGTACATGTACAGTAAATTTTAGTATAGTATATATATTATTTGAAATGAATCCAGTATGATGTAAATAAAAACGACTTACGAGCAGCAACTTAGGGATCCGTTGCTACACCCACAGTCGATACATTCCTTGAAAGATTTATACCTTGTTCCATCTTTTATTATTTGTCCTTTGTAAACACAATCTAAAGAGAACAAATGATTGAATGATAAAATTACTGACGAAGTATTCAACTTATCTAATTCATAATATATCATTTCTTTTTTTAATGTAGTAACTAAGACTTAATTGGAATCAATGACGCCAGGCTTATAACTTTGTACGCTAGAAACGCGTTTCATCTACATAAGACTCGTCTATTGTGCTCAAATCAAACCAGTTGGAAGACCAAACTCAATAACGAAATTAAAGTTCGTTGAAAACAAAAAATTAAGGATGTGCCAACTCTTTGCCTGGGTGCAATAACTTTTATCATCTTATCAACCGTAAATGTACCGAATGTAACATATCAATGATATTTCCAGCCAGGAAAATAGCGCTTTCTCTAAAGTTAATGCATACAATTCGACCAAACCACATGTATTAAGGTAACACAATACCAAATGGCATATCTCCCGATTTTTAAAATGTTTGGTAAACTTGTACCTTGATTCGGGTTACATCGGAATATGAAATATAAAATGGGGGTCACCATTTTTGTTTTTTTGTAATTTTCATAAGAAAACGTCAATTTTGTGGCGGCAAATTTACATTGATATATAGTGAAAATGCCGTGTTTTTTACTTATTTTTCTAGATTGTTGATTGAATGGCTCTGTTCTCATATACGGTTGAAGCCTAAAACCTAATTTAATATCCAAGATTGTATACTGAATCCATGCATGTATAGAAACAAGTATGTCAACATCCTTGTTTTTTAGATAAATTGCTTCAAAGTTGACCGGAATGCTCAGAATTTGACAGAAAACGTGTGACGTTACTGAATACAGAATAACGTTTTTTATTTACTCAGGTGTTGAAAAAATATATAACAAGATCTGAATGGTGTTTGTTTTTTTATTTTCATTTCTCCTGTCATGTTTCGTAAATTTCTTACTATTCTACTGATCAAATTTTATTTCGTCCTAACCGGATGCACATTTAGCTTTTCAAAACTGAATCTGCAACTTAACCCTACTAAACCAGACAAAGTTGATGCCACCACTGCGTCCATGCATAAATGAAGTGCTACTAAAATTTGATTAAGTCAACAGTTATGTTGAAATACAATTTGAATTGATTGACTGGTGGTTGCTTAACGTCCAGTGGCAAATATTTCATACATGTTTAGGACGATACAATACAATTTGAAATAGTTGTGTTTAAAAAACACATATGATGCACCCGTCAAAAAAGTTTAAACATTCGGTTAGCTATGAAAATTACAACCGTCATTAACAAAAATTCTGACAGTATACATACCTTAAGTATATGTACTAACAGCAGGCACACAATTTAGAAAAGTTGGGATGTAAAACATGTAGTGCTAAGAGATTAGCCGTGTAAACCCTATATACCAAGTGCGGAACGGACGGTCGAAAGGACACGGGTAAAACAATATGCTCCCGCCATTTTGTCAAGGGACCAAAATTTATATTAGTGTATATGATTATGTTCTATTTTATAAGGCATTGGTGACAAAATGTATTTTTGAATATTTAGTTCATAGTGGAATGGTAATTGGGAGATCTCAAATGTAGCAATGTAAGCAAGCTAACATGTACGCCATTTGGTCTTTGATAGAAAGTTGTCTCATTGACAATCATACATACCACATCTCCTTATTTCATAATGATTTGAGTGTAATCTTGAAATACAAGAAGTTTAAAGGCTTTAACAAATATGTACAAGGACACTGAAGTATGTTACTGTTATAATTAAAATCTGACTATTGTTGTGAACATGAATGTGATGTTATAATTTGACAGATTTAATACTTACGTTACTAAATACACTTATCAACTTCCTATTTCAAGGGAAGAACGAATTTTTACTAAAACTACAAATTAGCAGTAAAAAAAACTACAAATTAGCAGTAAAAAAGTTCTTGTCTATGCTGCATTAGTCACTTGTTATCTAGACGTCTTTGGTTTTGTTTGTAGTTAATTTGCCAGTTGCTGTCTTATTGTATTTCCCACATCTGCATTTATTCACACAAAGAAATACCAACTCTTTTTTTACATACATACATACTTGTATACTTGTTAAAAAAAACTCCTTATAAGATTGTAAATACCCTCGGGTTTATTCCGACGCCTATGTGAGCAATATGCTCCTCCCTAAAAAAGCATCTTTATTTATCGTATGTGAATCATTTTGTCTCCCCACTTTGTGAATTGGTGTGTTTTTCATCATCAGTACTTGTACATCATGTCCAAACGTTTTTTTTTTCTGGCGACCATTTCAAAACAAAGTGGTCTCTTAACGGAGTTGCATTAATAGTGATACAATTCCCCGTAATTTCACACATTATCCTAGTTTTCTATAATTTGGATTTCTACTTTCAAAACAAAATTTCATTGGAAAACGGCGTGCATCATATTTAAGAATTTATTGCAAAAAAAAACAACCCAGAATAAAAAAAAACATCAGTCTGTTATGCATAATAATAGATATAGATAAATCGTACTAATGCTTACTTGTCAAAAGAAAAGAACATTTAAAAAGGATATATTTAATGTAAAAATGAGGAGAAGAACGAGAGAAAGACGACGAAGCAATCAATGTCAAATAACGTATTGTATTAAAATCTCTCCGCACTCTTCATCAATGCTAAATTACAATCAAAAATATTTTACAAAAAATTATCGTTAACCTCTAGAAACACGACGGAACCTGCTGCATTGAGTGGTATCTAGGAACTTTGTTCAATAACGTCAGGAACAATAAGTATAACGTAACGTCATTCGGTATCGTTTTATCCTAATTATGTTTGTTCAATAATTTAGACAACCTAATATTGTGAGAAAGAAAAAAATTGATAAATATTTTAATAACCTATTTTCTAATCAAATAAATTACTTTCACTTTTTTTAAAACAGACAAAACAATAAATCGTTAAATTACACAGAAGCAATAAATTTCAGTGGTCGGGGTACTCGAAAACTTATAAATTAGTAGATTTAGTAGAAATAAAAGATGCTTAGTACTACCACCAAACACTCTAAAAATTAATATATAGAAATAGCTTAAGATTCTCTGTGTATTCTTATTCCATATTTATTTATAAATATGCCGCAAAGATAAATATGAAAAAAATAGAGTATTAAATATTTGAATTCATTAATCAAAGATCTGAAACAATTACTCAAGGTCCTCAATGGTTTTTTTTTTTACTTTTTTATTAAAGCGTCACTGGCGAATCTTTTGTAGGCGAAACGCGCGTCTGGCGTACAAAATTTCAAGCCCTGTATTTGTGATGAGTTTATTTACTTTTTCCATTGTTTTCGACAATATCTGTGAACACGATACGAAAGCAAGTAATGTACAAATGTGTCCTTTGGTTCATTTTTCATAAGAGCAACAAAATTCGATTAAATTTTCCGTAAACTTTCGTAATAATCAGTTATATAAAAAAAAAAGGCATTTGACCAAAATGAACTTGGCTGATGTTGAAATCTTATTGTATATTCATGTGACAGGCACACCTGATCAGTTGCTGTGCATTTACTCTACTACCAATATTGAATTTGTCAAAAAGAAATTTACCGTATAATAATTACTCGAGGGAAAATTGAAATAGTATACTGTTCAGACAAAGATACATTGAAAAATAAACAATATTATTAAAAAATCTGAATTTTAATTCTAAATTTCTCAATAATTAAGTGACATGGTGATCTGTAAATCAGTGTGATTCAAAATTTATTTGCACACAAGTTGCGTTGCCTCTTTCGCCAACACCATTGGGCTTTAAAGGAGATAATCGGCCAAATGTTTGTGTTTGAGATACAATAAATAATCATTAGTTCTTTAAAAAGATACCATGTGCCCAGAGGGCAAATCGTATCTTTTTTACGAACTAACGCTTATTCATTGTGTCTCGTACTTACACTATTGTTGTGGCGACTTTACCCAATTACAGTTTCTTTTTTAATTATACCGTATTATTTGTAAGCTTAAATAACTACTTAAAATACACTCACATGCATGATTTTAATAGTAAATGAAAATTATTACCAAATCATTGAAATTATTGAATTATTCGAAACACTAGGGATTTTCTACGCCAGGAATAGATTACGATAGCTGTATTTGGTAAAACCTTTCGAAAATTTTGGATTCTCAATGCTCTCCAACTTCGTACTTGATTTGGATTCGAGGGTCACTTGTGAGTCTATTGTAGACGAAACGCTTCAGGCGTACAAATCATATGCTTGGTATCTTTAATAAGTTTTTTTGTTTTTTTCTACGAATATGTGAAATAATGCAGCAGTTGGAAACGGATGAAATTGACAATAAATTTCTCATGAATTACATGAAATGGTTTATAATAATAAAAAAAAAACAAATTATTATTTTTTCTTTTTGCTAAAATATCAATGACCTCACAAATGAAATTTAGGAAAAAAGGGAAATCTGAAATAGGGATTCGAACTATGTCTACAAGTGTTACTCTCAACTCATCCTAACCTTGCGGTTACCAACTTACTCCATACAAACGTCGTTTTTAAATATTTTAAGGCTCAAACCCTGTGAATATAGTGTACCGTATCATATTGATATATGTAAAATCGACAATTGAATATCATCCGATTAGCCAAGTGGTGTCATCGATGTGTTTATGAACAGTGACACATTGGTTATTTCAGGGATGGTGTTCGGACCGCAGTCGCGGCAAATAAAAGTTTACAAAAGTTCAAGGTAACTTTTTAGACTAATTCCAGATATGAACCGAAATCGAAATTCTACAGCTTAAGCCAAACTTCCTAACCAAATATTTGTATCTATGAAAGAATTGAGTACAAGTCTTAATTAATTTGTGATAACGAAATCCCTGACTTGCTAATTTACCAGTTATACATAAACAAAGCAACAAAAAATTACATAGAACACCAAAGACTGGCTGACACCAACCCCACCAAAATCTGGGGATAATATAAGATGATCCGCAAGGGTAATCAGATCCTGTTCTACAAGTGGCACCCATTGTGTGATGTATAATATTAATTGCAGCGTTGCTATAAAAGTATGGAAAATGATATATTTCTTTTTTTGAAGGGTCCCTGCGCTTGCAGAGAAGTCTTAATTACATTGACGAAAATAATTTCAACATATGAAATCCATTTATCAATTATTCATGTGAGTTATACTACAAATTCAAGTTTGAACTGTTTTAAAAGTAAAACGAAAATAGAAACTACAAGATAAATATTCGTTTTGTGTTATGATCAGAATGACCCTCATCATTATGACTAGATAAGAATATAAATTGTTTAAATTTACCTGTTGGTTGCTGTGTAAAACAGTACCCATCTACAGTTGAAGACAGCCCTACGATCAGAAAACACACACACAGTAGAATGTGCACCATGTTGCAAAAACGTTTGAATAGATAATCCAGATGTATGCTGCTATGTATTTATATATCAGAAAAGCTAATTGCTTTAACAAAACTTACTCGACGATTATAAAATTACGTGTTAGTCATCATCAAATTAAGCAGTATTTGAATGGATGTTTATTTCTTCGTACAAACATCCTGGACACATCGCTTTCGATCATTAAGCTATTTATCGTTTAAGGTTGTTACATAATTGATCAAATTTGGCATGCTGAATTGTACTTTTGTAATTCTATACTTTTAATAGTTTTAAACCTTTGTGTTGTATAAACAGAAAAACAGATAACAAGGGTGCAATCAAAAACTATAAGTGGAATAAAATAAAACACTTTTTGTCACGATCGAGCTAAAAGTTTGGATAATGATGTGAAAAATTGAACATAGATGTAGTCAGTGACTCATATATTCCATATTGAATTAGTAAAAAAATTATCTTAACGTCAGAATAAAAAAATTCAGAATATTATCTGTTTTATAGGGTTACTAGTTTTCCTGTTCTTTTATATTTGCATTTGTTTGCAATCCTCATCTTGCAGCACCTCTCCGTAGACAAAAAGAAGATTACTTGATTCGACAATTTGGAACTGCTAATCCATATGGTTGCAATGACAAATTTGATGGTATAGGTTTTCTATCTAGTCCTTCCTGTAAGTCGGTGAATGTGATGAACATTTTCACTCTACTCCTCGACGTAGACGCAGTCATGGTCATCGTCATTATACATCACATAATCTCCAGGATGTCTCTTTTTATGACCTGCTATCATTGAAACAAAAACCGTTAGGTATTTATCACATTCGCACGAAGCTTTCTTCATTACCCCTTTTAAAACTTCATTCGCTGTACAACTTATGTTTGGAAAACACTGTTACAATCCCCCATTCAAACCAATACAAACTTACAGCCATCACCTCGGATATTGCAAGTCACAGACTTTTTAAACCAGTTCGCATTGGAAAAGATGAAAAGGGAACAGATCCTTTCCAAAACATTCCTTCGCCAACAAAGGTCTCGATGCCATCAACTTGGGCAATATCTTTCATCATAAATTAGTTTAATCGAAAATACCAATGCTACATCAATCTTCAAAGACCCAAATGTTGCAAAACACCTGTCCTCCCACCATGACAAATATGTTGTTGTCCCCGCAGATAAAGCCCCAAGCAACATCGTTTTTGTATGTAAATCATATCACATTAACTGTTTGATAAATGAATTAGGTATTGACAATTCACTTGGAAACTCAAAATATACCCGCACGTATGTATGTATGTACTGGTAGATTCCTGCGTTATTCGGAGCACCCTTCAGAGCTGCTAGGGTACAGTGGAATCCGAGTACACTCTCTATCGGGATTAATGAAGATGTGTCACTAACGTATTTACAACAATATTTACATAGACAATCACCACCCCAACACAAAGGGAGTGCTAGAACACCGCGAAGTCTGTTATTATGGTGGAGGAAGCAAAAGTACTCGGAGAGAACCACCGGGACACTAAACGGGAACAGACAAACCGAAGAGATATCAGCAGATTGATCTCCAGGTCAAAGTAGGGGGCAACTTTGACCAACCGAGCTTGGATACCTAAACTACATATTTGTTCTTACAAACAACGTTATATTCCTGGGTCTTCCAAGTGCTCCACGAAACTTCTTTCTGAATTATTAACATCTATTTGATCAGCAATCAAAGCCGAGATGGAAAGTTATTGTGAAACTACCTACTCTAGAGGTGGCGTGAATCAAATGTGGATATTTCATTTGCAATAGTATTAGAACATTTGACTTTTTCTACACTTTCTACAAGTATTCCCCATTCCAAACTAAAAGACAAATTGAAATAGTTTTGAAATAGGTCATGCTTTGTTTCACAAAAAAGAATGGCTTACGTAGATACAAGTTTCTTGTCGTAGGGACGGATAAACTGTACTTTGTAAACCAACACTCAAACTAAAAAAAATCTCTAAAACTAACATAATGAAGATGCTTGATTTCCTCATTTTCAACATAATTGTTACGTTTGGAGGACGCCTTTTTCAACAAACAATCGGCATTCCCATGGGAACCAATGCGCTCCTCTTCTTGTCGACTTGAGCGTCGATTGAAAACAAAACTTTAAGAAAAAAGAGATGATTTTCTATGTAGCAACATTCAAACAGCTTCTGCATACGGAATATATATCTCCCAGTTGATACGATATTCCAGGGCTTTTATTTCTTATCATAATTTCCTTGATAGAGGGTTGCTGCTCACAAGGATATCTATTAAATTAAGAGTTTCAAGTGGTGAAGTTGAAATCATCCCTTCTTAAATTTTAGGGACGCCATCACGAGTTGGTTGACCGTTATGGAATATCTGTTTCACAGATGACGACGAATATAATATGTTCCAATTGTCGAAACTACAATCTCGTCCTCTTCCTCCGAATGTGATCTACCGAATTAGACATATCACTGTTTTTGTAATTACATGAGCAACACGACGGGTGTCACATGTGGAGCAGGATCTGCTTATCCTTCCGGAGCACCTAAGATCCCTCCAGTTTATGGTGGGGTTCGAGTTGCTCAGTTTTTGGTTTTTTTATGTTGTTTTGTGTACTGTTCTTTGTCTGTTTGTCTTTTTATTTTTTAGCCATGACGTTGTCAGTTTATTTTCGACTTATGAGTTTGAATGACCCTTTGATATCCTTCGCCTCTCTTTAAGGGCATTCTGTAATGCCTAATATGATAAAGACGTCAAGACTAAAAACGAACCTAACCTAAGGCTACCTGTCTTATTTGTTTTTCGTTTGTTGGTCATAGATTATATCAGGCTGTTGGTTTTCTCTTTTGGAATGTTTCATGTCATGCCGGGAAATTGATAGATTACTTACGTCATCGGGTTTGCTCATTTTTGAAAACTGCACAGTGTTCAATAGTTTTTTACGTCTTGTCTACAGCGCATCTCCTTGTTACAATATACTAAAGTTATAGCGTCCATTAAATCCGATGCCTTGTGTAAGGTGAGTGTCACACTCAATGCACATTAAAGAACATTTGCAACAATCTTCTGATGGATCATGTTGGATGTTCTGCTTCAAGAGAAAAGTTCTGCTCCTACATATAACTTACTTGCCTTCATTTTCCAGTGGCAGTCCAACTTATCAGCTGTTCAACCCTGTTATCAAAACAAATAACTTTCAATCAATCAATAGTTAGTTCGTGTATATTAAAGTAATATATAAAACCATATATATATATATATCGACAATCTGGTATCTCAAAAATATTATGACTTTGTCCCTCCTAGGAAATTGAGAACCTTGAAACATTTTGGTTTACGAATACTAGTGTGGTCGATTGGATAAAAGTGCTACATTTAAAATAAGTCGAATATGTCTCCTTAATAATGTTGCAGTCTCTCGTCGTAAAGGAGAATGTGCACACAATTTAGTCATGACTGTCTCCGATACGATTTAAAATGCAAAAAGCGGTTTACCATGAAAGGGAATTGGTGTTTTCAAAGCATAGTTACGTTAGTTTCCTAACAACGGTGACTTAGATTTTTTAATTACATATTGATAAAACATAAAACCTAGTGTCTATATAGGTGTAATACCACCAAATCATAGTATGTCACATCCAGTTGCATACGAAAATAGGTCGAAAAAAAATATTCCCTTGAATTTGACAGTTGTAGGTAATTGATCCTACATTTCATTGCAGTAAAACATTTCTTGGTCATAAACATATAGCTTGGGTGTTTCAAAGCACCATTAGGTTTTTATTTGGGGTTTCTATAGAATATTTTGGAAACTTGAGGTTACATGGTTACTAAAGCTTGTACACAGGTTAAAAAAGGGGGAAAATTTGATTGGTTAACCTTCAGTGATGGTTATTTTCTTATATGCAATGAAATGTTATGTGAAATTTTTTCTATAGTACTGGACAGGATAAAACTTTACTCTTGCCAAGTATTTCTTTATTTGAAACAAAGATAAATTCTGCACAATTTTTTGAAAAGTGCAAATTTAACAAAGACTAATAGGGGAAAAACAATGGTGGTATTACACCTATAGTACATTATGATTGTCATTTGTGTTCTAAAATGTGTTGCTTAGAATGATAATTAAGAAATACGTATTTTGTTCTTTCGGGTCAACAAAGAAAACTCGCAATATTTAGGGATTGAACATCAAAAGAAAACACGTCGTGTAAAAATGACTTTGTAACAACCCATATTACCTTTTTAAACATTGCCGTTACAAGAAAACAAGACTTTACATGTACCACTTCATTTTTTATAAAAGAAAAATACGCATTCATGAAAGTTGGAAACTCTTGCAGATTATCATGTGTCTAAGCTATCACAGAAGGTAAAATACTCCTTCTTGTTTAAACAAAAATTTCGGATCGATTCTCGACAAAACTGCGAACTTATCATCGGTCGCAGCTGTTTTCCGTGGTCTATGTCTGTGCAAGAAATGATTAAGAACTGTAAATGAAATGTAGAAACTAATTCAAATTATATCCTGGAAATTGTTCCATATATATACTTCTAACTTTCCTCTTATTTGAATATATGTTACCTTCTTCTGCTTCTCACAGATGTATAGGAACAGTCATTATCCGTTTGTTGGTTCAGCTGATATGATAAGTGTTTTGTTGTTTTTCCAAGGGACTTTGTTCTTACGTATTATACATAAAATAACCTTAAAATTAAGTCCACATTTAATTTATAATTCTTACTACTAGTATTTCACTTTGATATACCAAACCAGATATTTGTTAAGATAGGTATCTAGTGAAATAATTATTTTAACTTTTTAAAGTTTTACGGATGTCTACATGATTTGGTTGAATGTTATTGCATATCCGTGTTATAGATGATCACGGATATGTGTCAATGGTAGCCAAAATCGTAAGAAAATTAAGCTTTTTGTCCAACACATTTAAATTACAATAATGTGCTATTAATGCCAATTCATTCAAGACTTTTATATTGCTTTCCACCTATTTAAAAGGAGCAATGCGTTTTTTACAACTGTCTGTCTCTTTGTGTATATATATATATAGGCATTGCTTGTTGTATAGTTCGCATTTTTGGGCCAAGTGAGCTTTTCTCATCACTTGTCTTCCGTCGTCTGTTACTAGTAACTTT